ATCTTCCTCTTATGATTTCGGGGCATGTTTGATCCTCTATTTTCTCCTTATGCACACATTACCTTATTTATGTCAGTTCATCCGTCACATCAAACACTGAATAGACTACCTTATCCTTTATCTACATTTTTGTGTAACTCATTCAAGTATGACTTTATCTATGTTAGTTCATCCTTCACATCAAACACATAATAGAATACTCTGTCATTTTTCAACATTTTGTGTAATTTCAAACAAAAAGCAAAGGCGGATCCAGGATTTAAATCCTATGAGTTCAATTTTAAGACTTTTAAAATTGAACCCATTATATTTTTAAAGTTATGGGTTCATATCTACTATTTTTATAATTTTAATTAATTTTTACATACAAATTTTTACTCCGCGTCGAAAGTTATGAGTTCAGTTGAACCCGTAGCTAGTAAGCTACATCCGCCTCTGACAAAAAGCATAATGCCAATGAATAAAGTTCTACTATATAAGATATTGTTTTTACGTGAAAGTGTAATGATCAAGCCAGTCGTTTTAATTTTTAGAATCATATTCTCTTATTTGAGATTTTTCACAAGTTCATTTAGTAATTTGTGACTTACTGGTATAGGTGGTTTGGGCCGCGAAAGGTTCAGGATCGTTTTGAAACACTTGATTTCGAACTTGAAGCCTTAAAGTTTATAGAGTTGACCAAGGTCAATAATTTATGTTACTATGCTTAAATCATGATTTCAAGCTTCTAAAAGTTCATATGATAATTTTGGACTTGTACATATATTCGGATTAGGATCCGAAGGGTTTGGGCGTATTTCTCACAATTGCATGAAAATTAAAACTTTAAAAATTCTTCAGTTGATTTGAGTTGTCGATTTGATAATAGTGTTTTGCTATGTGTTTTGAGCCTTTGGATAAGTCTATATATTTGTGGACTTGTTGGGATGGTGGAAGGATCCCAAGGGAGCTCGGGTGAGTTTCGGGGTGTTTGCGGGAGGTTTTGAAGGCAAAAACGAGCAAATCAAGCCATAAATTGCACCAACAACCATTTCAGTTATTTTCTATAATTCAATCATTTTTCAGCACTTGTATAAATAGTCGCATTTCATACAGAGTGTATTTATCATTTTGGGAGCAAGAGAACTCAGACTGAGGTTACTTTAGGGGATTTTAATCGACTTCTTTGGGATACATAATCCTAAATCGAATCTATGATTATTACATGAATCTACCTTCGATTTTGCCTTAGAGTCAAGAATTTCAAAGAGAGAAGGAAATTTTGAACCAACACCTAAGAAAGTAAATTTTAAGGTTTTCAACACCAATTTGGACTTGAATTTAGAAATAAATCACATATTTGGTCAGGAGAGGTTATGAGTCATCGGAATGTGACTCTCGTTTTAGGTTTTGACCATGTGAGCCAAGGGTTGACTTTTGCTAACTTTTGTTGACTTTGTCCTAGGACTAGAATTAAATTATGGGAATAATCTCTAAAGCATTATTTGACCTTGTTAAGTAGTTATTTGGCTAGATTGCGAACGTTTGGAGGGCATAGTTAAAGAAAAATGTATTCTTGAAGCTTTATGATTGATTGGAGAAGGTAAGTATCTTGCTTAACCTCGATTAGAGAGAATTTTTCCTAAAATGGACTTATTTTCTAGATGCTACGTGATTGAAGGTAACTTATATGCAAGATGACGAGTATATATACGAATGCTAAGGTTTACTCATTCTCAAAGTAGTTCTTAGGCTTTATTATGCATTGTTTTGCTACATACCTTTACTTGTTGGATGTTTTTACTTGTTATATGATTACTTGAGCATCTTATTCATGCAAGGATAATATTATATGCATCCTTCATATGCTAGTTTAATATAATGAATTGCATGTACTTAGTTTACATGATAGAACTGCATAATCATACATGGTTTTATATATGAACTTTGATAGCATATATATCCTATTCCTATTACTTATTTGAGATTGTTGAGAGTCATTGAGCTGTTAAGGCATGTGGACTCACGTTCCTGTTGAGATATCGGGTAGGGCATGTTATACATGTTACTCTAGGGCGTATGGATTTAGGTTCCAATTGAGTGTGGATATGGAACAGTCAATCATTAATTGCCCTCCTATGTTTCTCTCCTCGTGGTATATGCACATGTTTGATTATGACATCACTTAATGAGTTTGAGCATAAAGGTGGAAGCTTTATCTGTTTAAGCGAATCCTCTATGCATATTCATGCATTTTATATGCTTCTCTATTCATATTATCCATATATGCTGATTTAATGGCTCTGTTTCATGCCTTGGACTTGATTAGTTGAGATAGGTTGTACCATATTACATGCATTATTTGTGCATACCTTTCTTTACAGTTTTGTGCTTTCTTGTTGTCGCTGTGTTGTATATGAATTGCATAGGTAATATAAAGGAGTATCTTTGACCAAACTGTTGCCTCTACTTTATTGAGGCCGGTCAAGGTACTTACTAAGTATTGGAATTCGTGTACTTGTACTACACTTCTAAATATTTTTGTGGAGGTTCTGGGCTTGATACTAGTGGGATCTAGTAGGCTATATAGAATTGTTTTTGTCAGAATGCATGGGAGAAAAATTAATTTCTTAACAATGATACAATTAGCCCTATTTATAATACATATTCTACGTCTACCATGTATGGGATTGAGACATATTCTACTCCTACTACATAAGGGAATATGATTATTTGCACATAATGTCACGACACAAAATCCTAACATACCGTGATGGTGGCTATCGTGGTACTAGGCAAGCTGACATTTATGAAATAATCCCAACACTTAACACAAAACATATTTAAATAGTTTAAAAGATAAAAATTTCTCATAACATGATAGAAAATCCAAATAAAACACAACGTGAAAATTTCCAACATCGGGGTATCACTGAGTACAGGAGCATCTATATATCACAAGTCTGGAAAATACTGTATATGACAATCTAAAACTAAATACAATAAGTGAAAAGATAGGGGAGGAGAAACAAGGTCTACGAAATGCCAAGCAGCTACCTCGATAATCTCCGAGAATCCGAACTTCATAACTCAGTAACCACCATGACCGGAAGCACCTGGGTCTACACACAAGGTGCAGGGTGTAGCATGAGTGCAACCAACTCAGTAAGTAACAAGACTAAATAAAGAACTGAAAGTAGTGATGAGCTTCAAAGTTATAGTTCAATTACAGTGATTTTAACACAGGAAGGTAGGCATGCTTTCAAGTTCGACAATTAAGGCCAAAACAGTAATTTCATGTCTAGTTCAACTGGAACAGAGTGTAATAACTTTCAAAAAATTTCAAGGTAGTAGTGATACATGGCAGCTAAGTGCAACAAATATGAAATCAAATGCATCCACTCAGGGCAACAATCACTCAACCATCCTATTAACTCAGCACTCGCACTCAGTAGGTACCTGCACTCATGGGTGTGTGTGCAAATTCAGGAGGGGCTCCTTCATCCCAAGATCTATAATCTGCACAGAAAACTCACCTGTTGCATGGACAACTCACGTGCTATAATATAATATCTGGATCAGCACGAACAACTCACGTGCTATAGTATAATATCTAGATCCGCACGGATAACTCACGTATTGCACAGAAAACTCGCGTGCTATAGTTTAATATCTCACAATCAGGCCCTCGGCTATACTCAATCAACAACCTCTCTACTCTCTCGGGCTCTAAGAAATCATTTTAAGAAACCTAGACAACTGTAACGACCCGTCTGGTCGTTTCGAGTATTATAACCTTATTTTCCCATTTACTGCTCAATTTATGCTTTACAATTGTTTTATGACTTGCCGGGGTAGATGGTTTGGGTCCGGAAGGAATTCAAAGTAAAATGAGACACTTAGTCTCATAATTGAAAATTTTAAGTTAGTAAAAAGTGACCGGATGCAGACTTATGTGTAAACAACCTCGGATTTAAATTTTGATGATTCCAATAGCTCTGTATCATAATTTTAGGCTTAGGAACGTGTCCAGAAAATTATTTGGAGGTCCGTGGTTGAATTAGGCTTGAATTGCCAAAAGCTGAAATTTTGGGAAGTTTGACCGGGGGTTGACTTTTTGATATCGGGGTCGAAATCCGATTCTGAAAATTTGAATACCTCCGTTATATTATTTATGACTTGTGTACAAAATATAAGGTCAATCAGACGTGATTTGATAGGTTCCGGAGTCGTTTGTAGAAACTTGAAATTTCAAAGTTCATTAGGCTTGAATTGGGGTATGATTCGTGGTTTTATCATTGTTTGAGGTGATTTAAGGGTTCGACTATGTTCATATGATGTTTTAGGACTTGATGGTATGTTTGGTTGAGGTCCCGGGGGGCTCGGGTGAGTTCCGGGGTGTTAACGGATTATTTTTGGCCTTGGTGAGATTAGTGATATCTGCTGCTGCATTTTTCTAATTTTCTCTTTCGTGTTCGTGACTGGGCCCTCGCGTTCGAGAAGAGTGTCTTCTGAGTGTGAGGTTTTGTTCTTTACGTTATCGAAGGGGAGGACGCGAACGTGAATGTATGGTCTCTGTGTGCATCGCGAACGCGTGAGTGGTGTCGCATTTGTGAAGAGGAGTGAGGCTATTGGGGACCCCAGGTCCTTGTTCTACGTGTTCGTGAGGTGGTGGTTGCGTTCGCGAAGATCTGAGCTGGTAAAGCTTCGCGTTCACGAAGGGTAAGATTTGTGGGCAGTCGAGTTGTGCTTCGCGAACGCGAGTGACCTGTCACGTTCGCGAAGAAGAGAGGCCTGGACAGAAAGTTTAAGTTCAGAAAATGTCCTAAGTAGAGATTATTGGTTTCTTTAGATGACAAATCTAATCAGGACAAGTTCCTTGAAAATGGCAATGAATCAAAATGGTTCCACTGAACTTCTCCAAGCTCACACTCAAACATGGAACCATATCTACAACTTCGTAAGCTCTTCCGCAGCAAAATGTGCAGTTCAACTAGGCATTCCCGATGTCCTATACAAACATGTTAGTTCATTCTGGTTTCCTAAATGAACATGAAGATTACTATTCTCTTACCCCAGCTAGTCGCCTTTTTGTGAAAGATGATCCCTTGAGTATGAGGTCATACTTTCTCACCATGCATGATCCATGCGTTCAAAAACCATGGTTTGAGTTAAGTAGTTGGTTTCAAAATGATTTCCCCACTGCTTTTCATGCTGCTCATAATGGGAAATCTTTTTGGGACTATTTCGCGGATGAGCCAAGAGTAAATAATATTTTCAATGATTCAATGGCTAATGACTCGAGCTTGATTGCCAATGTGCTTATTACGGAGTGTAAGCATGTTTTTGAGGGGTTGACATCGTTGGTGGATGTTGGAGGTGGCACTGGCACTTTGGCAATTGCCATAGCCAAAGCTTTTCCTGCCATAAATTGCACCGTACTTGATCTCCCTCATGTTATTGGCGATCTCAAGGGAAGTGGGAACTTGGAGTTTGTCGGAGGAAGTATGTTTGAGAAGATTCCTAATGCTAATGCAATCTTACTCAAGGTATAAGTGTTGATACTTTCGTGAATATTTGCGTATGGTCATGCATGTCTACACCAAATCAATAATTAATACATGATTTGTGCTTGTTTTATAAATATACTTCTACCACTTAATTACAGTATATGAATGTCACATATATGTAAATTTTAAGATGGATGTGTAGTCATACAAGATAAGATAAAAATAAATATGATAAAAATGTGCAAGTACCACATATAAAGAACAAAATAAGAGAATAGTGTTTGAGACGATTTAGCCACGCGTGTTACGTATGTGCATGTTCTTAGTTTTTGAAAACATGATGATCGACGGTCTTAAAAGAAAAGATAAACCTAAAATCACATGAAAATAAATTATCTCAAAATATTTGAAATATCTGAGAATTCAATTACAGGAGTTCTAATGCTTACTAAAAGACTCTTACTATATTAGATATATTGCCACAAGAATTTACTGTTAGATAATCATTAAGTATATAACATTATACTATTATATAATTCTCATTTATAAATGTTCTATAAATGATTTTTAAAATTTTTAAGCTGTCCTGCCCATCTTTGTTACATTCGTAAAGTTATTTTTCTATATCATATTCTGTGAGAATTCGCAAGTAGTAATTTCTAATAACTTTTGAATTGTTACCCTCCTCGCTCCCCTAAATTCCTATCTGCTCGAATATTTCATGGTTAAACAGTGGATTCTCCATAACTGGAGCGACGAAGATTGTGTGAAAATATTAAAGAAATGCAAAGAGTCAATTCCAAGTAGAGAAAAAGGTGGGAAAGTGATAATTATAGACATAGTGCTGGAAAATCCAAAGCAAAAGGATGATTCTGTTCGAGCACAACATAATCTGGACATGGTGATGATGGTTCTTTTTGGTGCCAAAGAGAGAACTAAGAATGAATGGGAAAAACTCTTCACTGAAGCTGGTTTCAGTGAATATGAAATAACTCCCACCCTGGACACAAGGTCTCTCATTGAAATCTACCCTTGAAGAAATGTGCGTTTACAAAATATGTTAAGCCCTAGTGAATAAACTTGTAAGCTTATTATGAGTATATTTCTATTTTTATCGTATTGTGAGCTTTATTTCTTGATATTAACCTTGCTAATCAACTTAATTGGCTCCATTCTCACAAGTTATGTAATTCCAAAAAATTGAAAAATATTGGGAAGTTCTTCATTATCAATGATTTTAGTAATAGATATATAAAAAGTTTGCGTAAGCCACTTGCGTTTAGCTCTAAAATACTTATTGCATATATAAGATGCATATAATGACGGCTATTTTCTAGTACTGCTTGACCAAGCTGTTCCCTGCTTGGACCAAGCTGTGACAGTGGGGTTATGTAACGAACCGACCGATCGTTTTGAGCTCTAACGCGTCGTTAGGCAGTTTGAGACCTTGAGTAGCTTCACTTCATGTATTATGACTTGTACGCGTGGTCGGGGTTCAATTTCAGGAAGTTCAGAGTTGATTCGGAAAGAAAATTCTCAATTCGGAAGCTTTAAGTTGGAAGAGTTGACTAGGGTTTGACTTTTGAGTAAATGACCTCGGAATCGGCATTTAAAGATTTTAATAGGTTCGTATGATGATTTCGCACTTGGACTTATGTTTGGGTTGAGTATCGGGCGGTCCGGAAGTATTTCAACACTTATTGTGGAAAGTTGTCATTTTAAAAGTTTTAGAATTTTTTAAGATTGATATGAAGTGAACTTTGATTTTATTGATGTCCGTTTGAGATTCTGAACCTTGGAATAGGTTCGTATCATGATTTGTGACTTGTACGTAAAGTTGGGCATCATTCCAGAATGTTTAAGTGTAATTCGAATGCGTTTCGGCGAAGTTTAAAAGTTTGAATATTGAAATAGGTGTTTTGATTGTCGATTCGTAGTTTGGATATTGTTTGGTATGATTTGATGCCTCAAACAAGTTTGCATCATGTTTTGGAAATGGTTGGTATGATTGGACGGGGTCCCGGGGGCCTCAAGTGTGTTTCAGATGGGCTATGGGTCATTTCGCCATGTTTGAACTGCTGTTTTAAAGATCTGGTGCATCCTTCTTCGCGGTCGCGAAGAGCAAAGTGTTGTTCCAGGCCTTGTGAATCGCGATCGCGGAAGGAAATTCGCGATCGCGTAGAAAGATTTTCTGCTGTCAGTGGTCTGACTTCCGGAGCTTATATCTTGCAATCTATAAGGAATTTGGAGATGATCCAAAAAAGAAAGTTGTAGCCCTTGGTGTCTAGTTTTAAGAAAGGCAACAATTTGTCATTTGGAGTTTTGTACAAAACGTTATCACCATTATACTAGAGGCTTCCTGGAGGAGTTGGACAACTTGTTCTTCGCGATCGTGAATGGTTTTTCGCGATCGCGAAGGGCAATTTTGAGCTGAGAAAAGTTGTGTTTCGCGATCGCAAAGCATTTTCTGCGATCGTGAAGGGTAAATACCTGGGCAGAAGCTATATTTCGGGGGTTTGCTTCATTTTTACCTCATTCCTTCCATGAGAGTCGACTTTGGGGCAATTGTGAAGTGCCATTTTTATCATCAAACTTTAGGTAAGTGATTTCTACAACTTGTGAGTTAAATCAAGGCTTATATATGGATTTAAACATAAAAATTAGTAGAAATTGTGGAATTTTTGGAAGAAAACCTAAAAATAGTATTTTTAAATTTTGACCACGAAATTGGACATGGAATTAAGAATAAATTATATATTTGAGTTCGTAATGTTATGGGTAATGATTATCTTCAAAGATTTTGGAATTCGGGCACGTGGTCCCGAGGGTTGTCTTTATGAACTTTTCGAGGGGAGTTAAAAATTGTTATAAATTAATTAATTATGGGTAATAGAGTATATATTTATGGATTTGCAAATTTGTTTTGACTAGTTTTGGAGAGACGGGCATCAGTTTGAGGTGTTTGAGTGGCGTTGGAGCCAATTATGGAACTTCAGAGCGAGGTAAGTCTCATGTCTAACTCTTTGAAGGGGGAAACTACCCTTAGGTGATGTGTTTGTTATATGGTACTTGTTGTGGGGGCTACGTACGCATAAGGTGACGAGAGTCCGTATGTAGCTAGATTCATGTTATGTCCGGGTAGACTTAGGTTCCCGCCATGCTATAACTGTACTATTTGAGTTATCTCTTGCCTATTAAATTCCTTTATTTTTCATTGCGACTTGAGAATAGACTTGTGTGGAGTGATAGACTTGCTATTGTAGAGATTCGACGGGCTTCATGATTAGCCGCGAAATACTTGTACTCCTCTTACGAATTTCTCCCGCGTTATGCGTTCTAATCGAAAGGATTTCTTTTAAAATTTATAACTCACACCTCTATTCGTGAGTAGGGTCAAGGACCCATCAAAGCTTCTTATTCTAATGGGATGGGGCCATTCGCCTTGGCAGTATAATAGATACATCTATGGTTTGTGTCGTTCGACCCACGACAGTGCGCACATCATGATGGGATCAGGCCGTTCGACTTAGCAGGACTTTGTATCACACTCTCATGGGAGTGGGCTGTTCGCCTCGACAATACAATAGATTTATCTATGGTTCAGCAATTTTATGATGAATCGGGTCATACGCCTCGACATTTCTATAAAATACTTTTATGAAATCGTACGTAATAATTTAGAAAAAGCCAGTATATCCGTGAGTTTTTCTGATTTGAACTGTGACGACCTATCTGGTGAGTTCCATTATATATATATACTCCGATTGATGGGGTAACTACTAGCAGAGAGCTTGAGTAATTGCTGAAAGGAAAATTTTAACACATATTTATACTTGTTATTTCGTTTATTTACTCTGACTCACATCTGTTTACTTCTACTGTATCTGTCTTATTGGACCACTAATAAGTGTCGATGTCGATTGCTCGTCACTACTTCTCTGGGGTTAGGATGGATACTTACAGGGTACGCATTGATTTATATACTCATTCTACACTTATTGCACTTATTGTGCATGTACATATATGTCTGGTTGTCTTTTGGGAGCAACGACGCGGCTATTGCGAGGACTTTACCATGAGTTGCATTCCCTCTTATGATCCGCAACCTATAGAGTCTCCGTTAGAGTTATTTATATTCTCATGTCTAATTTGTATTCTAGACAGATGTTGTATTTTATTATATTTCCTAGTTGATGCTTTTTTGTGTAACTCCAAACAAAAAGCATAGTCCCAATGAATAAATTTCCACTATATAAGATATTGTTTTCACGTAAAAATGTAATGATCAAACTGGCCGTCTTAAGTTTTAGAACCATATTCTTTAATTGAGATTTCTTACACGTTCATTTAGTGATTTGTGACTTGCTGGTATAGGTGGTTCTAGTCCCAAAGGGTTGTAGAGTGTTTTGAAACACTTTTTTTTATAATTCCAACAACCCGGGATTTCACCTCCCGTGATGATGGGAGGTAATTTATGAGGAGGTTTTTATTTTATAATATCCGAAAGCTTGCTTAGGGAGATTAATGTCATTGAAGATCATATATTTTGAAACACTTGATTTCGAACTTGAAGCCTTAAAATTCACAGAGTTGACTAGGGATAACCATTTGTGTTAATATGCTTAAAATCATGATTTGAAGCTTCTATAAAATTCTTATAACAATTTTGGACTTGTCGATTAGCACCCAAGGGGATTGGGTGCATTTTGGCACTATTTCATAAAAATTGGAACTTTAAAGATTATTCAATTGATTTGAGTTGTCAATTTGATAACAATATTTTTCTTTGTGTTTCGGGTCTTTGGATAAGTCCATATAGGGTATGTGGACTTGTTCGGATGGTTTGGAGGGGTCCTAGGGGTGCTCAAGTGACTTTTGGGGTGTTAGTGTAATGACCCGACCGGTTGTTCAATGTATTTGAGCCCCATTTCCCCTTTTGAAGTTTTTCGTATGTGTATTTGTGGTTATATGACTTGCGGGGACGGTTTCTTTCATTTTAGGGAGGTTTTGGCTTGAATTTTATCAATTGAGTCTTAGTTTGAAAGCCAAAGTTGAAAATATTGACCGAAGTTTGACTTTTATGAAAACAACCAGAACGGTATTTTGATTATTCCAATATATTCGTATGGTAATTTTGGACTGAGGTGTATGGTCAGATTTAGATTTGGAATTTTCTAGGTTGATTTGGCTTGTTTTACCGAAGTTGGCAATTTGAAGGTTTAGAAATTTCCTAAGATTGACCGTAGGTTAACTTTATGACTATCAGGTTTGGATTTTGGTTTCGGGACTTGAAATAGGTCTGTTTTGTACTTTAAAACTTGTCTGCAATATTTGGTGTCATTAGAGTTAGTTTGATAGTAATCAAACGTTTGGTTGTGATTTTAGCGATTATTGAGTTTCATTGCGAATTCTATGTGTTTTTGTATCTGATTCATGATTTTGGATGTTATTTTGATGTTTTGAGCGTGCGAGTAAATTTTTATGATATTTTTAGACTTGTGTGGATATTTGGTGTAGAGCCCCGGGAGATCGGGTGAGTTTCAGACGTGTTACGGATTGGTTCAGACTTGTTTCAGGTTGCTGGTGTGCTGGTGCTGCAGTTATTACAATTGCAAGCACCAACATCGCAATTGGGAATAAGGCATAGGGTACAGATATCACAAAGATGATGCCTTGATCGCAATTGCGAAGGTTGGACTTTGGCTGGAGAGGTCACAATTGCGACTATTTGGTCACTATTGCGAAGGGGCCTGACTTCACAAATGCGAAGTCGGTGTCTCATTCCAGACATCCCTTGTGTTTAGAAGGCGCCGCATTTGCGATGGGTTTTTCGCATATGTGAGGATTCAGAATTGCGATCCCTGATCGCATTTGCGACATCTGCAACTGAACAAATGGTTGGAATTTTGGAACCTAGTTTTATTGTATCACATTTTGGAGCCCTAGAATCAGTGGGAGGTGATTTTAGGAGGAGGTTTCCATACAAATACATTGGGTAAGTGATTTTAACTCAATTTTGATTATATAACATGATTATTTATGAGCTTTAAC